ATGTTTCGCCCCCGTCGTAACTCCGCGCAGAGAATTCCGAAAGCTCTGGCTTTAACCCCTCTCCCCCGATCGCTCTTTGATCTCGTCTCCAGCGCTCCACCCTTTGACTAACCGTAGTTATTGCGACAACAACGTGGATCGCCGAAATTTTCACCGTTATTTAAACTATTAATTACGACCGACGGACCGCAGCTTACAAATTTTACAAGCAATTAAATACCCTCTGTTGGAATCCCGTTCGCCGGTATTTAATGCCACGGTGACCGTTGCATCTAATTGAATAGAATTAACACGTTTCGTGGAATTCGTTTAATCGAAGTTGATTAAAAAATAATAGTAACGCTCTTTTGTTCGCGATATAATTTAAAATAGAATGAGAGACGATCGGGGGGAGGGCGTGCGCGAGACAGAATTAAACGAGGGGAAGCGTAGACGTCGTTTCGCAGGGATTACGGAGCATTCGTTGTTAACAAATGCAACGGGGTGCGGATTTAATTGTTTTCAAGAAGCGCGAGAGCCGAGTTTTGCCGAACGACTCGACGTTAAACGGTACATGCTCGGCCGGAGTTATGCCACGTTAATTTGGATTCCCTGTTTAATTACAGTCGGTGACGAATCGCGACGACGTGGATGCGGAACGGTTTACGGAAATCCGGGTGTGCCGGGACGGGGGATAAGTAATCTCTAGAATTACAAGAAACGTTGAACGCGTCAAACGGACCTTTGACGGTGGCCCCTTAGTCAAAGATGAAGTCGGCACGAATTAATTGGATCGATTGCGACAGCCGCTCTCGATCTACGTTTCTCTGCCGACTCTCCGCCAAGTAGGCTTAAGGATGTATAGGCTATACATGTTGAATTTGTTATTATAAATTCCTCCTTAATAAGTAAACTTGTTTTATCCAAAATCATTATTCTTCCGACATCTGATATTTTCTTAATTATAGGAAATGCGGTTTTCTAAAGTACATAATCTTTTCGGATTGACTGTATAGCCAATACATGCTTAAGTATTCCGCCGTCCCGATTGAAAATTCATATAGGGAATAATTAAACGGAGTGTTTATAACATTTCTGATGGACTGTCCAATTATTATAGTCTGCCTTGCGTTCGGCCAAAAATGAATTATATGTTTCGTAAAGAGATTAAACTGCGCTGCGCGAAAATTACCGGGACCCGTCAAGATGGTGCATAAAGTTGGTCGCGGAATATATACTTTGTCGCGTGTAATTCGAGTTTGACCTACATCAGACACTCGACAAGGAACGTATGATTTAAATAGAATGCCGGTCCACGTTTCCTGCTGTTTCGTGTCACGCAGCCTCGTTCCTGTTAATTCTGTAAGCTCCCGCGGTCATGAATGGCCGTAATTCCTCCCTACTTTACACGAACAACAGTGTTCTTCGTGTAATATTTCGCCCGGAATTAAAAGTATACTCCCCACGGTCGGTAAAACAAATACTAATTAGATGACTGACGGAACGGCGGCGTCGGTCTGCTTTCCTGTGAAAAACGTATAAGTGATATATTGAAATGCACGTTGGGACCTCGTTCGTATAAAAATTTCCTCGTTCAGTCCCGAGGCTAATTAATTTATTTTCGCGGAGGGCTTCGAGTCACAGATATGTAACGGTCCGCTCATCGTTTATTTCTTACGCTACATTTGGTAATTAAATTTCGCAAAGGAAGCGTGGTCGAAATCACCGGTAAAAAGAAAATCTTAGGTAAGGTTTTCCTTGCCTTTCGTGGAACGTGAGATAAATTGCGCTGGGCGCTGCGAAACTCGGGAGTGAAATTGCAATTTCATAAAATCGAGTGGGCTTCGGTAATGCTCATTCTACTCCATCGTTCCTCCGTTCTTACTCGCCCCTCGTTTTTTCCCTCGTTCGACCCTTGTTCTCTCGGTATGCAACGACGAACGTGATAATTACTGCATCCTCCACTACTCTGTGACGCATACATACCTCGTTCACGTCTCTTTATACTTCCTTCTCTGCCCGCTTCTCCTTAAACTCGAATAGTTTCAAACGAGTGAACATTCTTAAACAACACTTTCTGAGACGTAAAATAACCGAAGCAGACTCTTACCACTTTCTTGTTATTTTTGATTCAGTTCGATAAGACAAATTGCTCCGATTACACCCGTTGGTTTCACAGCGAAACAGTTTCAATCGTGATTCCGTTCGGAATTCTTGGGATTCGGTTCAGAGAATCACGGTATCAAAAACGATAACTGCATCTCAATATCTCATCCGGTGGTTTATCGATGATCAACGAGAAAGAACGATATCCATTCGACTTCGTACGTACCTATTTACCGTGTATGTAGGTAAGTTTCGATGAAACGTCGATACCATCGACCGCATCGGTTCACCCGCAGCCACCGAACGTTTTATTCCACAACGAAAGATGTAATCTCTAAAACGTTGACCTACATGTCGAAGCGAACTACTGATACGAGCAGCCCAGGCAACACCACCACTGCTGCTGCACTTTATGTGCACATGCTGCCAGCTAGCCGACCTATGCACGCGTTCCTTAAATACATAAAGCGTCCCAAGACATTGTGATGAGGCTGCGGTAAACTAACAGGCCGAGTTTGCTATACCTACGATACGCTGTTTTACACCGGTAGCTTGTTTAGTCAATGTTATTACCGCACCCTAAAAACAGCTGCCGCTGTCGTTAGGCATGATGCATATTCAGTGGGCATTTTCTGTGCAACATAAATTTTAATTCATGACACGTCATCGTGCATTATTGATCTTTTAATGGAGCTTTTATTTTCGACCGAACACCGTTTTATTTATTCGTTTACGTTTTTGCGTTTTAAACGTTTCGCAAAACGCGCACAGCGATAGCAACATCGGCGGATGGATAATTCAATACGGACGCAAAATCGCGGATGGTCGATGTAATGCATATTTCATGGCACGTTGCACCACGAGATGAGAATATCTCGTGTAGCTTGGATTGAACTTTACTGTCGCCTAACCGGAGGGCCAACCGATAATTATTTAGCCCAGGGGCGCGAATTTGACGCGACATCCACGCGATACAGTTTGACAAAAAAATTCGCTGACGCGGCTGCTTTAATTTTTTCGAATGATCCGTGAACGGGAAACTTGATCGTACGATTGGAGGGTGCGAAAGCGTCGTGAAAACGACGGGTCCGCCTACGCGACGAAGGGAAAACGGAAGGCGCCTCTGGGAACGCAACAAGTTCGCGATGCCTTTATCCTCGAGCGGCTATCCTTTTGTGAGACCCTGGAACTTGGCCAACGGTGCCGGTTTACTGCTGCCCGTCAAACCCCGCTCTCTCCATCTGTCCTCCGTTACCTCCGGTCCTTATCTGACCGAAAGTGCGATGAATCATCCCGTTGGCCCGGATCAATCTATCGCGATGGCTATGATCGAAGTTCGAGCGTCGTGTAACAAGAATCGGTCTCTGACCTCTGCTCACTCCTCGCGTCTTTTTCACTGTCATTATCTCGTCAACGTGTCCTCTGACGAAGACGTGGACATGCTGATTCGTGTAATAAAGTCAGAATTGATACTCGGTGCTATTGTATTATTAAGGACAGTGGGCATAAACGAAGAGGCTCGCACGGTGAAAAATTATTCGACGATAGAGCGAAGGTCAAGCATCAAGGCATGAGCTTATTGATCGCGCGCAGCATACCTTTTAGGCAGCCCTGTTACTACAATCGTTCCAACGTTCGAGTCATTCTACATTCCGTCATCATTGACCTATTCCAATGAACAGGTCGCTGGGTGACCCAGAACAAGAACGATCTTATCTATAATTCCATCTGAGTTTCCCTGATAATTCCCGTGAATTGGGTCTACCTGCTTTATATCTTCGGGCATGCCGTATGAACGGATTCATCGATGAATAGGGAAGGAACGGGGGAAAGAAACGAAACCATTTGTCTTATTAACGTTTCCATTTCGTAAAAATTGGGATTTACTTGTCACATATTACTGGATGATACAAGTGAATACAGGATTTTAGACAATAAAAGAGAAGGAAAGAAATAGAATAAAAATTGCCTCATTTTGTTAAAATTAAATTACAGACTGCGGTCTCTGTGTATTAGCCTCGGTTCAGACGGTCTAAATAATCGAGCTTCGTTCCGTGACCGGAATCCCGTGTCGAGGGAAACCAGGCACCGACTTCACGCAGTCGATACATATGCCATTACGTAGAGGTTTTGGAACGACCGGTACAATGGGGGGCACACAATGAGATTCGTGTTCCGCGTGGTAGGCTTGTTAATATTGCACGGCCCGTGTCGGAGTTTTATCTCTCTTCAGCTCGGCTCGTTTTATATCTCTCGCATTAACGCCGGTAACTTGGGCGCAACCGTCGTCGTCGTCGCGCCGGTGGATCGGGTCGGTGCATAACGTAGGTACCGCGGCATTACGGCAGGGAACTTCATGGAACTTTCAGTACTTTCTCTCCCACGGATTCTTCCATCGCCGACGAGCTTCTCCCCGTCTTCTGGGAAGTTCCCTGAGCAAATAAGGAGGGGTCGCGTCCATTATTTCATTTCGCCGGGAATAAAAATTCGCTGGAAACTTTTGATTAACGTCCGTCAAAATTTACGAGGCCGCAACCCCTGAATGAAGAATGTTCCGAGGTCGTTACATATGTTGACCTGGATATTAATTCCGGGGAAAGTAGATTTTTTTTTAATTCGAACCAAGCTCGATCTCCGACGTCTCGAATAGTTTACGCGTTTGCAGAAGATACGTTCGACGCTTCGTACCCCCGGAGTGTCGAGGCGCGTAACGCACGCTAATTATAACGGAGTCCACTCAGCACCCTTCGCGCACAATGGAATAGAGTTCCGGGAACAATCGTACTCGAAGTAACGGGATACTGTATAATACATATCTCTCGGACTGCTCATTATCAGAGGATTAACGTCCTCTCTTTTTAGCCGGGTGAATCGTCGTCGCGCTCTAACGTGAACGGCATTGTGTTTGGTTGCAGGCAAAATTTCGCGTGATGGTGGAGGAGAACGCAGCGACTGGCGCCCGGCTTGACGGGGAGCTGGAACGAGCCAGGGGCGAGTGCGCCACGCTCCGCGGCGAACTGAGGGACGTTCGCGGTGCCTTGCCGGTGGTATTGAACAATAACAATAGCGGGGCCGTGGCCAACAACAGCAACAACAACGCGACGGGTAGCGGAACGAACAACAGCAGCAGCCCTGGACAAGAGGCCAGCGACCAGCAGAAGCAGCAGCAGCAGCAGCAGCAGCAATCGCAGGAAGATGGGAAGAGACTAAGCGCTGGAAGCAGTCCCGTGGAGAAGAGGAGCTCGGCCAGCGATAAATCGGCCAGTCCCATCGATAAGAGGACCAGTCCTGTGGACAGGAAGGATAGAACCAGCCCTGTCGACCGAAGAGCCAGTCCTATAGGTTCGTTTCTTTTATTTTAATCCTTGACTCTGTTCACTGTTCATAGAAATCGTATTGAAACAGATGAGAGACATGTAGGAACGTATTGTCGTATGATACAGAAACGTGTATGAATGTATCGTGCAAGTTCTCTCGTAATTCTTCGTCGAAAGTTATACACTAATTCAAAAGCGTGGTAACACTCGTCTCGATTCCCGGACCGTGTCGCGCAGTTGTGTATCTCATAGTTACTGGATGTCGTTTTTACGACTGTCCATGACTCACCGTTTTCCCAGTGCGACTTGTAAAACATTCTGTGCCTACGCGACTCTCTCCGGATCGTTCGTCATTGTTTCCCTGACTAATAGCAGTCTGCGATTCCCCGTGCATCGACGTCCTCGGTAGTTTACACTATGCATTTCATGCCTGAAAAAATGATTTTCCTAGTACCGTGAAACGTGTTCAGAGAAAATGCAACCCCACGCGGTCCCGTGGTTCCACGAGACGATTCCGTTTCTGGAGAGTTGAAGCACTCCAACCAGGTTTCATAAAAAACGTAATCATGGGAAAGGCGTACGTCGCTAACCATTTCCGATGTCCTACGGTAGAAAAACGGAATGTATCGCCGAGTCGGTCTCCGAGCGAGAAAGCACGCCGGCCGTTTGCCCCGGCTTTGGAGAAGACTCGGCTGGGCGGTTCCGGCGGAAGCGTGGACTCCCGATCCGGAAGCGCCAGCCCGGACCGAGGCAGCAGAGGGTTCTTTCATCGGGGCGCGAGTGATCGTTCCAGCATCGAGAGACTTCGGATATCAACCACGGGTTCCTTACGATCCGCCGGCAAGGAGATGAACGAGAAGGACATTGACAAGGATCTGGTGGACGGCGAGGTGAGGGCCGACGAGGACAATGAACCACCTGGACCGGCCCCGGGCAGCAGACCCTCGTCGCCGGCTAATTCCCTGGGTGGGTAACCCGGCATTTAATTATGGAAGCTCTTCCCTTTCAGTACTCGTACCCCTCTCTCTCCCCCCGGTGTACATTCACCGCATTCGTGATTGTTCCACGGTTTCTGACGATTCCACGGAATTAAACGGAGCTGAACTCGGGATAAATGCCCCGCGTTTTCTTCAATGCCGGAAACTGGAGTGACCGGGGTGAGATATCTCTTTTACGACGGAATGGATACCTCGCCCCGGTGCATTATTGAGAACGATACGTTGTCGCGGGTCGATTGAAAATGTTCTCAAACGCAGAGGATGCTCGACGAGTTCTCGTCCTGATGATCCCTAGGTGTTTCGTCGAGAGTGGCTTCGAACACCACTTTATTTCTTTCGTAACGAATTACTTATTCCCTGTCATGGAGAAGATCGAGTTTATTAGAATCGGAAATATTTATCAAAGAACTTGTCGTTAAATAACTGACAGAGTACGTACCGTCGGCTTGTTCGGAAACTGTCTTTCACCGACGCTCGCCGGTTTTCCTAGGCGTACGAATTTTTTATGGAAGACGTTTCGATGTGTCGTGCAGGAATTGGTGATCCATTGGTGGCGTCGAGGCTATCGAACATTCATGGTGGTGGTGGTAGCACCGGGTCGGTTGAACTGGCCAGCACGAGGCGGCTTCGGCTGGAGAACGAACGTCTCGTGGCGGAAGTGGCGAGATTGAGAAGATTGCTGTTCACCGGTGCGGGACGCGGCGAGGTGGGCTCCGAGGACGCGGCGCAGGAGGAAGACGCGCGATTCGTCGCCCTCGAGATGGAACTGCAACACGCCAAAGAAGCTCTACAGGCACTCAAGGCCGATCGGAAGAGGCTCAAGGCCGAAAAGTTCGATCTCCTTAATCAAATGAAGGCGCTTTACGGCACCCTCGAGGACAAAGAGCGAGAGCTACGCGACTTCATCAGGAACTATGAACAGGTAATCATCTTCTTTGTACGAACCCGACACGATCGCATGCGCGTCGTTCAATCGGTATCATGTGTCACAAAGAAGCAGCCTCTTCATTCTTACACTGGCTTCAGAATCCTTTATCTAAATTTAACGCCGAAACACAATTTCTGAGATCTCCACTTCTCGTCTTAATAATTCAGATTAAATCGGAAGTTAAACCGAGCTCAGTAATTGAGTTAAAAAAAACGTGATTAAACGTAATTGAAGTATTTAGCACTCGAAGCAATATTTTTAAATGCATTAATAAGGCCGCGCGGTGCGGCGTAGCGACGTTATTAGTCGAAGGGAAAATAACTGGGCAGACCTCTACAAAATATTTATTTAACGAATACCCGGTGAAACGCGTTTCAATTTCCTCGTACCGTGCGCGTCACCTCTGGGTTCGCTCGGTACACGAGACAGCAATTTTGCCTGTTAAATACTTTCATTAAACTTGCTGGAATTTCTCATTTTCCCGGCACCGTTATCGCTCTGCACCGTCGTCGCAGTGACGGCGACGACCCGAGCTGATGCGACGATCATTCCAATTCCTCTGAATAGAACAACGACTCGATTTGTCTTTCTTGAATAAACTTGAACTACCTTTTCCTCGGAAAACTTACTAATCGGTTTTGTGCACTTACAACAAAATTAAATGTGTACCAAGAATCTCATGTAACGTGAAATATCAGAAACTAACGTTTGATTAATAAAATAAATTGCTGTATGAGATACATTTCTAAAATCCATTGTCTATTCGTGAAATAAGAAGATGGGACATTTCTGTATTTCCTGATAAATATTTGTAGTCTTATTAGCAAAATTGGGTCGTGAGAGATAAAATGATCCTTGAATCGTGTTTTACTTCATGAACTAACAGTATATTTATTGAAAGCATAAAGGGGAGTACGCGTTTCGAGTATCGAACAAGAATACCGCGGTAAACAGATAATTTAAGAGGTGGTCGTAGTGAAGTCGGAAATTTGAAAAGTTAGGAAACTTCCTCGGTGTATCGCTGGGCCGTGGACCGGGTTAAAGAATGGGCGACAAGGAAGCGAAAAAAAGAATTAAAAAATGGCGCTTAAGGTATTTGGTAGGAAAATTGAAAGCCCCGGGTCTCGGTAGCGCTTCTTCTTGTTCGCCTTCTTATTTCCGGAACAAGTTCTTGTGTACAAAAAAGAAATAAAGAAGGAGATTAATAACGGCACGAGTCCGGCCTTTAAACGTTCCTCGCAAAAAGCTTGGCGCACGAAACGCATCAATGCACCCGGCTGGAAAACATCCCCGGTCCTCTCGGTGGGAGAAAAGGATTTTCATAAGGACATGGCGATGCGTCATGAAAGATGGAGAAAGGCAAACTTTAATATCCAGTAACAGCACGTTCTTTATTAACGATCGTAAATATCGTTTAAGCCCAAAGGACACAGTGCCGGCTCTGAAACAAAACTCGCGCAACACCGCACCGGAGCTCGATCAATTTTGCAGCAAGAAATTTGTCAGGGAGCTCCGCACTTTTTCTCAACATAAACCTTTCACAGTTTCGAAAGAACTTCTTCCTCGCTTTCTATTAAAATTAATTTTATAAATCTCTCCGGACTCGTGCGATTCGACACGGATTTTTAGGAACGACGAACATCCTGAAGAAAGGTGGTTCATGTTCTAGCCCTTAACGTTCATTATAGTATTTAAAATCTGATACTTAAAACCTTGCAAGCCGAAGTGTGATGAGAGTAAGTTGGAGTTACCGATCGATATTCACGATTAAAATTTGGAGCTTTAAGGGCTAAGATATTTTCCAAATCGGCGAAAGACGTTCTTTGACGCGCTCCCGGGTTCCTACGTAATGCGACATGAAAGAGAACGGCCGACAGTCTTAGGAGCAGATTCCCTTCCGGAACGGCTCTTCAATTTTCTCTTGTTTTATCCTCTTTCGCGTCTCGTCGCATCGCGCATAATCCACTTCATCAGCAACGAGTGTCGACGTGACACCGTTCTGCGCCGGGAAATCTCTTCGGGCACTCCGTGTTCTTTTATCCGGTCGACTCAACGCTCGTCTCTCCCTTGTTTGCTCGAGGACACGCGGGCCCGATATCATGGGACGGTATCGCGCATCGAAATTCGCACACCCGAACACGCGAGTGTAAAAAAGAATCACGCGTCACAATCTCAGAATCGTGGATGACGGAAACGATCGATGAATCCAGTGTCTATTGATCCGTTCTAAAATCGGTGAACGTGGAAAAATTCGAAATGCAGTTCGGGCGCGGTTACGATTTTCCACGTGACCGCGTCGTTCCGCGCGATCGGCGCGTCGATTTTGACTGGAGGAAAAAATGTTGACCCGGCGCGGCATCGCCGGGCGACACCTGACCGAGCCTGTTCGAGTGGCAGTAATCGCGTTGTCTCAAACTTTACCCGATAAACCAGCTGCAACGCCTGTTACACGTAGCGTGAACTTAACGTTAGAGCCCGGGGGAGAGATAAGTGGATTAAGTTCTCCGTAGCTGATATCCTACCGGCTAATGGGCGAAGGTACATGACACCTGTACGTAAACGACGAGTCGCACCTGTATCGAGTTATCACGAGTTCGATCGAGTAACGACGCGTTAAGCACGGTTTAAAAAAGAAAAAGGAGGAGAAAAGAAAACCCCTGAGAAAGTCTTTGCAGCGCGAACCAGATTGTTTATCGAGATATTCAAGGCCGTCGACTGGGGTGACAGAAAAAATAAATGGGTGAACAGAATATAAATTCTACGGACTTGACCCCAACCCCTAATTACGGTCCACTCCTTCGTCTTCGCTTTAATCAGCATCGCGCCGCATCGCCTTCGTGTTCGTGTTTTCAAAGGAACTCTTTGACACTTTGTGCTCGCGCGTGCTGCATGCATTGTTAAACGGTGGTGGTCCCTGGGTGGAATTACTGCCCGGATATGGGTCTCTTTGACCGTTGATTACAGCGGATGCGAGAGAACGAGGCGACCTTAGGACGGCTTCAGCAAGGAGTCGGCATACCTTCCGAGGAACGGGAACGCGAGAGGGAGAGGGAACGCTGGAGCCTGCTGAGGGCCGCGAGGGACGAAGCCGATCGAAGTCTCAGCCTCGCGGCTAGTTTGGCCGACAAAGAGGCCGCCCTTTCGCACGCACACGCGACTATAAAAGAGGTGAGCCCTTTTTTCCCTTTCTGTCTGTCTATCTATCTCTCTCTCTCTCTCTTTTTGCTTTTCGTACCCGCTCTGTCTCTGGCGCGGGTATTATTATCCGCGGCGGGGAGTCGAGTTGATGAATTTAATCTCTTTACCGGTACAGCGCAGTTGCTCGAGTGTTTTGTAAAGAGAGTACCAAGCTCGAAAAAATACGTTAGATTTTCACCGAGTCAGCAAGTAACGACTCCGATATTTTTCCTTGTTTACGCTCAGGGTTTCGTTTAAACATTTGTTGGCTATTTACCCGAGAATCGTCGACTTCGCTCTTTGCGCACTTTGCGTGTACGACGTGTAGTCCATACAGTTTATCAGTCGTTTAAGGTAGCTCGCTATTTGGGTATCAACAGGGAGCCCTAAAATGGGCTTATTTTAAAATAAGAATATGAAGTGAAAATTTCATTATTAAATGTATATTATCATTTTCACATTCATATATTTTAATATTATATTATAAAAACTATTGTTTCAACTTGTATTAAAAATCGTATATATTTTGCAAATGCTATCAAGCTACCTTAACTGGAGATGACAGTAAAATCGTAAATGCTCGCGAGCTTAATTATTGCGAGCAGTTCGTCAAGGAACATCCTTCTTTGAGCAATTGTCCATCGTCTGCGAAAGTGGCTGAAAATCGAAAGGGTCTGCGAGCTTAATCATTGTCTTTATCGAAAACAGGATAGAAACAGAGGGGAATGATACTTAAGGTCAGATCGACGTCGGTCGATGTAACATTATTAAGAGCAGTTAGGTAAGAAGCATCTCTGCGCGCACATGCAATTATGCTAGCCGGTACGAGAGCCCGGCTTTGAGCTACCTGAAATTGTCCTCCACTGTGCTGTGCATAAACGGACCGCCGCTAACGAGTTTAAAACTGATGGCTCGAGGGCTACCTCGATAAGTCGACCGAGAGTCACGTACATCTCGAAATTTCCATTCCCAGCTCCCCGTTTCACGGTCCGCAAATTGATACCGTCGCGAATCGCCGGTACTAAAAATTGTGCCACGCTTTCATTAATGAACATAATTACTCGGAATTTCTTTTCTTTATTCGTTGCCGTCTCGATGCGTCGAAGTAGAAGTCATGAAAGTTTGCATGACTCGTTATTGTGCGTCTAACTATTTATGACGATCATTGCAGTTGCAGCGTCAATTGGCGGAGAGGGGCGGCGGCGGTGGTATCTGTTTGAGCGATCAGGAATCGTTGGTCTCGTTCCCAAGGGGCAGCGTGAACGGTGCCGCGACACCGGGTGCTGGGAGCAGCAGCGGCGGTGGCTGCGGGATCGTCTCTCACATGAACTCCCAGCCGCCGTTAGGCAGCACGGAGCTCGGAGTGACCGTCGGGAACGTCGGCAATGCGGCAGGTGCCGGATCTTCCGGCGGACAAGCCGGCGATCGCGGAAGTTGCAGCGCGGACAGCGGCGTACGTGGTTCCAGCGACAGGGAAAGCGGAGGTGCGACCAGCGTGGGTGGAAATCTTTCCGACTCGACGACAGACGGTAAGAAAAGCTCGTATCGCTTGCTGCTCAGTCTGCGTACATAGTCTGTGTCCGTTTCTATGTCTTCTTTGATATGAGGAAGCATGGGTATTATTACAGAAATTTAGGCCGAGGTACTTCTCCATGAAGATCGTAGAGAATTTTACGTGGGGTTAATTCTAGGTCGAAGTTACCGTTTGAGAGGATTGATGAAAAGCTCGTACGTAAACTCATTTAAAAGTGTCGCGCGAGGAGGGTGCAACCATAAAATTAAGTCTGATGGTTTGTGCATTATTCATCGGGAGAGTAGAAAAATCTCGCCATTGTGATAGCCGTCGGGAAATGAAGTAGCTTTCCAGTCGCGAGGCTATCTCTCATATAATACAATCGCCATTATTATTCATCAGAAGTGTCGAGTGGTCGGAACGCGATGGTTCCTTACGCTTAGGTGCAACTGGCGGCAAGATTAATCGTCTAGTTAAAGTGCATTACGGCACATCCGTCGTCGCGGATGAAAGAAAGAAGGAAATGAAAAAGCGATGACGATAAGTGACATCGTAAGTTCTCCGCGTTCGTGGGAGCTGCCGCTGTCGGTGGTGCCCCGATCGGGAGCGTTCGCTCCTCTATAATATTATTCGATCCAATACCCGCGGACGTTCGTTAAAGCCGATTGACCGGTTCGGTTCAGGAACAAACGTTCCATACGTGACGTGATCGTGATGCGCGTCCACGAATTCGGAATTACACGAGATATCCCACCGCGTTGCGAGCAGATTTTTCAAAGTCCGGTCTCGCATTCTTGAATGCCACAGAGTAAACCGCAGGGTATTTAATATTCTATTAGATCAGGATTCGCATGTCTCTGTTAGGATTTTTTATAAATAGACAAGGAATGTATGCAACATAAAGAACAGACGAACAGAGATTTCCCAGATTCAGGAAACTCGACAGTCGGTAGGAAAATAGATATTCGAATTACACCTTCTGTCTGCTTCCCCTGTTCTCTTCCTCTCCGTTCCGTAAAAATAACGCACACACGGAGAAGTGACGTCGAACCGAGTTTGAAGTCGGAAAGAACGTCCAACCGAGCTTGAAGAAGGAACACGAATTTTTTTTTATACCTTGCATATTTCCGCGCAGGCACGCCGACAATTACGGTCGAGGGAAGCGGCCTCGACATGGACTGCATCTCCGTGGTTTCCTCCATTGCACCGTCCCACATATACCAGTGTAAGTGTTCAACATGAATCGTTGATCGTCATCTCCTTTTCCGTGTCTTCGACGTCGTCTGATACTTATATATTTTTCCGTGGTGAACCCCTTCTGCTTCACTCTCTCTGCGTGTGCGTGTGTGCGTATCTCGTTCAGTCTGTTTTTATTTCTGTCTTGCCTACTCTGTCGCTCTGTTATTCTTGTTTCTGCCCTTCCTCGAATATTTATTCGGCGCTGTTTTACGAACTGGATGTCTGCTTCTCGCTGGTTCGTCTGAAATCGATCGTTGCTTCGAGTTTGAGGATCTAAAAAAAGAACTGCATTTTTTTATACTAAAACATTTAACGTGTTACAATATAAATGAGACTAAGCTAGAAATTGCAGACTTTTTCGTGTGGCACGAAGTCCCGTAAGGCTGTGCAACTCTTTAGTAATCTCTCCTCGGTGATCAGATGTTTTGCTTTGCGAGTAATCTGTTGTAATTGATCGCAGGAACACTGAGTCTCTATCACAATTATTCATTTATTTATCCATTCAGCCGGACAAGCCGTAATTAATATTAAAGGTCCATTGTGTCGCGGTTTTGAACTAACAATCGGCTAATTGTCTGTTGTACGCCCGATGCATGCGCATGCACGTGTTGCAGCGGCCAGAACTATCTCATAACGTACGAATACACATAATTTCTGGCGTGCACCAGCAACCGTGTAATCTGGTACCGCTAATAACTAGCCTGATCAATGGGAACATTGTTTTTAACTATGTACGATCAGATTAATTTCCGTCGAACGGTGTAACGAAGTTAAATCTGAGTAATTCAAGAATAATTGCGGACAGTGTAAGCTGTGTGTTCTTTATGTTGCATCGCTATTAATATATCGAGACAAAATCAGGTTGCTGTTCAAAGGGATAAAATTTTACGATCGTTCCAATGGAACTGTCGTGCTGTTCTTTTTTTATAAGTGCGATCGTTGATCTTTTGCAGCGGCTACAACGCCGAAAGATTGCAGCCCGACTCTTTCGCCGATGAACGCGTTCTCTAGGTCGATGGACAACTCCTCGTTGTCGCGATCGGTCGAACAGTTGTCGAGCCCGCTGGAATCGGAGCCGAGAAGGAGCAAGCAGAACACGCCTGTCGCGGCGCCGACTGCTCACTCGCGATCCTCCGCGAACCGAGGCGGCACTTGGGGCTCCATTTCCAGGTGAGCATTGCGTTCGTCGTCGTCAAGAACCGCTCCCTTTCGTTCCTCTTATAATTAACAATCGATGGACCGCAGATGAAATTTGCGGTCTGACGATCAACGAATAAGATTCCTTGGCACCTTAGTGCTTTCACGGAAGAGTCTAGTATCCTCTTAGCTCAAGGACAGTTTCCTCGCGTCATTTTTCAGAGTGTTCGCTCGCACGCGGCACCGAAAGACGGCGAACAATTCGAGCGGCGGAAGCGGAAGCAACGAGGGCTCCGACGGGTTCGACCCTTATAGATCTTGGTCCCCGCTCACCGAGGAGGGCTACGCAGAGAAGCTTCGTTTGCTCAGAGAAGCCGCGTCCGTGCCCATGGAACGGTGGAGGGCTCCGACTGTTTTAGCGTGGTTAGAGGTTGCTCTTGGTATGCCGCAGTACGGTCCACGGTGCGCTGAGAACGTCAAGTCCGGAAAAGTAAGTTAAATTAAAATCCGAAACTTCTATATAGAGAAATGATTCTTTGAGACGATCGGAAAGGTCGACGAAGGAAATGTATCTGATCTGAGACGGTCTCGATGCCTTTCTAGGTTTTACTGGAGCTGAGCGACGCCGAGTTAGAAGCAGGACTCGGCGTGACGCATCCCCTTCACAGGAAAAAGCTGCGATTAGCGATCGAGGAGCATCGACAGCCTAGCCTCGTTCGATACCCGTGCATCGCCCAACTGGGTCACACCTGGGTCAGCTCCGAATGGTTGCCCGACCTTGGACTCGCCCAGTATTCCGAGAGTTTCGCGACCAATATGGTAGACGCGCGGATGCTCGATCACCTGAGCAAGAAGGAACTCGAGAAGCTGCTCGGCGTGACCAGGAAGTTTCATCAGGCTAGCATCGTGCACGGAATTCATCTGTTGCGGCTGCTCAACTACGATCGACAGGTAACGACATCGGAGAGACGGATCTTCACGTTCAACATGAATACGGAAATTAAAAATTATTGGAATCGTCGAATGAAACTTCTTGTTTCGAGTAAAAGAGCACGTTTGCATTTGTTTAACAGGCACTCGCGGTCAGAAGACATCAGTGCGAGCAAGTGGACACGGATCCTCTGGTGTGGACCAACCAGAGGTTCATTCGGTGGGCGAGGAACATCGATCTGGCTGAATACGCCGAGAACTTAAAGGGTACGCGAATTGTCTGTTTTTAAATAAAATTAAGCCCCCGGAGTTCCTCGTTTCAGGTAGTGCTGAAGAAACGAATTTTTTATTTGCGTCGCAGATTCAGGTGTGCACGGTGCTCTGGTAGTGCTGGAGCCATCGTTCACCGGGGACACCATGGCCACGGCCCTGGGCATTCCACCGGCTAAGCACATGATCCGACGACATCTCACCGCCGAACTGGAAGCCCTCGTTGTTCCAGCAAGGTACTCAGTCTACTATCATCCAGAGGCGACATTGGACAACGCTCATTAATCAACATAACATAGAATACGCGTCGCGTCTCGTTCGGCAATGCGAGACCGACGTAGCGCGATCAAAACGTTCATCCCTCGTCTTCGAATTCTCGTTTTAACTTAATCGCTCGATATACCTTGATAACGCGGTTACATTCATTAGAAGAAGATTCGCTTGAAATGAAACTTTGAAATTTCGCTTACGTTCGAGACGAACGATAGAAAATCCAGTAGATCGTTTCCTACCGTGTTCTGCCATGAAACGAGAGAGGTACCTATTTCAGATATCGTCGCTGAAGTATTGTCAATTATAAAAAAAGAGTTGTGCACGTTTTTACGCGTAGAGACGATCGAAACGTGAGTGATTCGTCAATGCTCGACGAATTTTATTAGAGAGAAACATTCGTAAATCGATATTAAAATTAACGCGATTGCCTGCTAGTGTATGTTTGCAAGATGATATTAGCTTTAAAGCCTAGTACGGACCTAGAAATCGTTCCGAGACAATTCAGAGGCAGCTCGAATGCTTCGATTCCAAATCTATTTAGAAACAAGATATTTCTATGCCTGTACCAAACGCGAACGAACGTTGTTAGTATAATATTCGAAGTCGATTCCGATAGGCCTCACTTTTTCAGGGTTTCTACCTTTTAGTCCGTTCGTCGATATCATAGTTTAACCGTAATATAATACATCTATATTCCACGAAATTGAGGGAACGCTTAATTCTCGGCGAAGAAATCCTAATTAGCGTTGTACTCCATTTCGGTACGGAGTTGTAACGATACATATTAGCATCTTTTCAACGAAAATTAAATGTTGCCTGCATTTCGTGCAGTAATGTGTTTCCAATCTCGAGGATTGTATATAATAACGGGCGAGCTTAACGAGTAATTTCCATTTATAACATTAGGATCGATATATCAAAATTTCAGCTTTCATCGGGACATTTTTTAATAGAACGAAGTATCGAGAGATTGTACATAAACAGAGAACAATCGATGCAACGGAGAAATAGTATTAAGATTACGGTTCTGCTATTCATTTAAGGATGTATAGGCTATACATTTAAACAATGCTAGCATGTTGAATTTGTTATTATAGATTCATATTACTATTAAAAGCCTACCTGCAAAATTTTAAATCAATTCATGGGATTTTTGAAAAATTATAGTCACTTAAATTTGCATGTACTCTTATGGTAATCAGTAGTAACCCAAAGAAAACTTTCTGGTATTTGGTGTGTAAGTTGGAAGAAGCAACTCACTTAAGGAAATCCAAGCCTAAAAAGTCTGGGATTTCTTACGTTTTTTAGAATATATTTCGATATTTTTCGATATTTTGACGAAAACAAATTTTTCAATTTTTTTGAGATTTTTCCAAG